GCAATATATCATGACAAATCAATTGCACATATATCACATTTTTAATACTCAATCTCTTGATCATAAAAACATAAGGGGGAGTTAAATTCTCATAAATCATCACATAATTCAAAATACCTAAACATTTATACATATCCCTACTTGTAGTAGTATTTTGGCCCTATATGAACTTTACAACCACATCATGTACAGCTCAGGGCACAAAATACACATTCAAATCAATTTCACATTTAGTGCAAGTAATCAAAAATCATATGATAACCTAGTTGGTAAATATCAATCAAAATACACATAAATAAATTTACGAAGCCTACTATTAGGATTTTAGCATAATCCTATGCCTTTGGTCGTTTCCCTTGATCCTGATCCGATGAGCTAGCCCCTGTTATATTGAAGAAAGAGGAGTGAGTACAATCACTCAATAACCAAGGTTAATCTAGCCTATGTAAATGCATGAAAATTAATTAAAAAGATGCAAAGGGAAATTACACAACTTTCGCAAGTATATTTGCTTTTCAAAATATTTCCATGACCACAATACTAACAACCGTGTGGCCGGACACAAACATACATCAAAATTCTTACCAATATTAAGTATCTAACACATATGGGGTCACAATACTCACAACCGTATGCCCTTATCAAATTATGCCAGATCATAATAATAACAACTATATGGCTAGGATATGATATGAATGCTATCCTTATACCTTATTGATATATTCGACATGAAATGGTGGCTATTTAGTGGGCTATAAACTTGGACTACACAAGCCTTCTACTCGTGAGGAGCTACTCAACCAAGACTATTACACTCACTTGTGTGTCATAATTTTCCCCAATACTAACAATCATGAGGTGTCATATAGCCTTCTCATAAATCGGTAGAGACTAATTAGGTTTGAGTTCCTTAAAGAACAAATGGGACAATCCCTCTACAATAATGAGATAATGACTACCTCTCGATTCTAACAGTTGGCAACATGGCTAGCTTCCGATTCTAATGATAAGTGATAAATAGTAATTTTATATATTTTTATCTTTTTAATTTAAACTTTTAAGTATTTATTTGAAGCTAATTGAGTTTAATTGAATATTATTTAATTTTATAAGCCAATCTTCAATTTTGGAATTTTGAATTTTAATATATAAATAATATTTGATATTTTTACACAGCTGTTATTTAATTTTATTTTATTTGTGCAGATTTTTTAAATCTAATTTAAAAGACATTGATGAATATTATTATAGATAAAAGGATATGGACATACTTGAAGATCAAGTCAAAAATCAAATTGCAGAAACTATGTTTATATTTATTTTGAGTTTTAAGTGTAGTTTTCAATTAGGGTCATTAAAAGTAATTTTATCTTTTTAATGAATTATTAAATTTGAATTATGAAGAGACGCAGCACATGATGCTCCAAGAGACGCACGACTATTTAAATTCAAAAATTGGAGGGACGAAGGGGAGTATGCGGATTGAGAGACGCAGGGGCGACAATTATGGACAGCTGCCTTGTGATGAACTATAAGGCATGATTTTAAATTTTAATCAAAATTTTTAATATTAAAAAAAATTTATTTTAACTTTATTTTAATTTATTTGTCTTTTCTCTACCTTTTTATTTTATGTTTTAATTAGTATTACTAATTAGAATAGCTTTATTATATAATTTTTGAGTTATAAATTTTATCTAAGGTTTTACTTACTATAATTGATTAATATAGCCTCATGAGAGTAATTTGACTGGCTTGAGTGATTACTCATACTTTATTTCTAGTGTGATTTTAATATAGAAACATCTATTAGGTTGTGAGTTAAAGGAGATTTCAATTAATTCACAGTTTAATTTTTTATTTAATTTTTGAATGATAATTTGGGAAATATATAATAAAACTAAAATAATAAATTTAAATAAAATTAATTTATTTTATAGATCAGGAAGATTAAGTTTAGATAATTGAATTGTGATCAGTGGCGTAGAGAGGGGGGAACAGGGGCCATGGTCCCCCTAATTTTTTAAAATTTTCTTTATATTATATAGGTGTTACATACTTTCGACCCCCCTAAAATTTATGAAAACTTTGTAGTATATATGTTTTTTAATCTTGGTTCTCCTTATTCTTAAATCCTAGCTCCACCTCTAGTTGTGATTAATTGCACTGTTTGTTCTTGGTAATTTTCTCAATTGAACTTTTGCTTTATTTATTTAATTTTAATTTATTTTTTGAATTAATTTTATCATAAAAATTGCCTCATTATTTAGCTTTTCATAATCATAATTCAAGCAGTTAATCCATTAACTTTTAGAGAGACAACCTAGATTGTGCTGTACTGTAAAATCTAGTTTTTATTAATTTTGATGCTATTTGACAATAGTGTCAAAATTTTGGCACCGTTGCCAGGGAACCAACTATGTTAACTAGTTAAATTAGGAAGATTAGTGTTTTCATTGTTTTTTTAGTTTCACTTTCCCCCTGTTTTGTGCTTTAATTTGGTCATTTTAATTACTAATATCATTCATGTGGTTGTTGGAATTTTTTCCCACTTGCCTAAATTTTTTAAAAATCGATATCTTTATATTTTGGGTAGTGTTGAGTGAAATTTTCAGCTTTAGCTGTTAAGTGACCTCTAATTTGGCCAAATTCCATTATTATCATCACTTTCTTATTTTTGATTTTTTTTTACTTTTAGGTTATTTTTCAATTTTTTTTCCATATTCAATCTTTTGATTTTTTTCCTTGCTTGTTTTAGGTAGTTTGTTTTATTTTTGTTTGTTATTTTAGTAAGGATAGGGTCCACTTTAAAAAAATTAATGATTTTGATCATACACTTGAGATGACTTTGTGCTTCATTTTGTTTTCCTTTAGTTTGACTAATTCTATTTTGGTTGTGGAGATGGTTTGAAATAGTTATCACCTTGATATTGATTTTTGTCCATCTATGCTTTATCAAGATGCTTATAGTATTGATAGGAAAATTGATGAGTTGTCCTGTGTTGTTAGACAATTGCTTGTTAAATAGGTATTGGCACAACCACTTGAATTGGCCCCTTACCATCCTTATTGTCACCCTTTTAAGAGTTCCCCAACATACAATGAGCAATGGTCACATGAGAACGATGGTCGCTTATACTCCAAAATAGCTAAGTTAACATCAATATTGTATTAGTAGCAACTAAGGTTATTCTTCATTAAGGAGGTTAAGTAAGGTCAATTAAGGCTAACTAGTGAACTAAACTAACTAAGATTTGATTGATTTTAACTAATTAAACTAAATAGATAGATTTAATTAAAAACCTAATTAACTAATGAAATGAAAATGTGAGTTTTTAAACCCCTCTAAGGTGAAGTCTTAGAAGTTATGGGAGGCTAGATTCATTATCTATTTTTTTAATTAGGCTTAAGTTAACTTTCACTATCTTAACCAAATTAAACCCTTTACACAATTTTGCATAAGTATACCTTCCTAACCAATTCGAATAACTAAATCCTTGCATAATTTTATACAAGTCCCTAATTAATTTCTTAGCTAGGTGCAAAATGATCAATTTTTTTTTAGGTTCCCCTTATGGGTAGCTCGGCCTATGGTGAGTCTAATGCATAATTTTACACACAAGATATTTTATCAAATACTAACCAAACATATTTATGCATAGCCAATGTAAGATATATTCACAACATAAAACATATATTTATATGAATTACAAGGTATTGGAGAATATTTTTAGCAACTACTCAAAGGAGAATCAAGTGGAAAAATAATAAACCATCAAGTTAAATACCAATTTTGATCAATAAAAATAAGATATAACAATGTTCTTAATTTTAAGAATAAGATTACATCAAACTAGGTTTAATGGAGAGCGATGTGACCCTTCAACCTTCCTTGAGATACTTCAAGACTCCTCTAGCATTCTTTCTTGCTAGCACTCCTCATAAATTTAGCCTCTAATCATTTTGAAATTTACTTGAGCACAATCCTTCCACCATGGTTGAACCATACTCGTGAACATCTTGAAGATTTTAAAGCCAAGCTAAGAAATAAAGCACTAGAGTTTGAAGTTTGAGGTAAGAGAAGAAGAATGGTGGAGTTGGATTAGGGTTTTGATAGGGCCTGGAGGGCCAGGCTTGAAAGCCCTGTTTAAATAAGGGTTCGGGCTTTGAAAATAAATTTTTTTAAAGTAATCGGGCTTGAGGGCTTGGCCCTGATAAGCCCTGTAAAATAGGGTTTGGGCCCGGGTTGCCCTTCAAGCCCTGTTATATTATTTTTATTATTATTTTTTTTTAATAAAACACGTGTTTGAAATTAATGACCTGCTCACCTGATCTTACATATATTATATTATTATTAATTTTAATTTATTCTAAAATTAATTTAATATAATTTAATAAATATCAGTGTATAGTATAAAATTTATGATATTTTTTATTTTTCTATAATTATTATGTTTGTATATTTATAAAAAAATGAACTATTTTTAAATGAAGATTTAAATTTTATTACTAGACTTCTAATGTATGTTATTTAATTCTAAAAAATTATGATGATTTTAATTTTTTTAATTTTAAAATATTTTAATTTATTTATAATGTTTAATTTTATTTTAATTTTTTTATTTTTTAAAAAGGGCTTACGGGCCTGGCCTTGAGCCCTGAGTATAAGGGTCGGGCTTTAAAAATGGGGATCAAAATGGAAAATCGGGCTTTAGGGCCCGTATTCCCAGCTCTAGGTTTTGATGGTTAGATCATGAGTTATGGAGAAGAGAAAGTGAGATGGAAATGAAGAATATGAAGAATAATGGAAAGAGAATGGAGAAGCATAGCTGCAAAAAATGAGGGTAAATGGAAGAATAAATGTTGAAAATGAAATTAGAGTTGTTTGATTCAAGTCTTGGGTAAAAGGGCCTAACTTTAGTGTTAAGTACATAGGTAAAAAAATAAGTTAGGGTAATTTTATTCTTTACTATGGTAAAATGGATGAAAATTCAGATAAAAAATGGTCTGAAAATTGAATTAAATAAAGATAAAGGTAATGGAAAATTAAGAGAGAGAGAGAGAGTGGAATCAAAGTGTGGTACAATATGTGCAAGACCATGCAAAGCTTGTACTTTCATCCCAAAACTCAAGTATTTAGCCTCTTGACTCATCTAGTATTCCAATCTAATAGTCTTCATGTTCCAAATCCAAGGGTACATCCCTACATAAATAAATGTGGCACACTATATCAAAATTCAAAGCATATGGATAATATTTGCATTTTGCAATTAAAATTAATTCTTAAATATGTGACAAAATGTAATTAAATAATAAAAACTAATTAAGACATCACATAAGAGGCTTTGGGGTGTGACGTAGAGCCCAAGAATTGTAAGCTTGCACATGCACAACAATGACCTAACCTAAGTGTAAAAAAATAAGTTAACTCGAAACTTTAATTTTTCAAAACAGTCAACTTGTGAAATTAATTATTCTCAATCTAAGATGAATTTGAAAAATTTAATTAGACCATTATTCTTTTAGACTAAAAATTCATCTTGAATAATTTTCACAAAAGTTTAATTTTATGACCAAAATGTCCCTAATGTATAGAATCTTACACTTAGCCAATTTTTCATAATTAATACAATAAGTGTGTAATTTGGGTAAATATAGTATGATATTTGGTCAATAATAAGAAGAAAAATTGTGTAATAAATGTGACTTATCATCATACTACCATCCACACCATCACTTCCACTCCTATCCTTATGAGAGAACCCTAGCTTTTGTCCAACAATAAGCAGTCAATACCATGTGAATTTACAACATTGACTCCTCTTCTAATAGGTGAACTCCCATATCATATGATCATGCCATGTACAAATATTCAACATGTAGCAATGCAATTTCATTGACATCAACCTGTTCATATCATGCTCATTACTTTCACCACAATCATGCTTAACATAGATTTCAATTTGCAATTAAATCTTATATTGTTCATTTATATGTGTACTTGCTTTTACTTAATAATGTGATAACCCAAGAATTTTAGTAAGAATTAAAATTTATGAAAATGTATTTTAGAGTATTTTTTATTTGAAAATTTTTGGGAATATTTTTAGGCTATTAAGAAAGAGATTCAAGTTTTGCACATTCTAGCTTGTAGGGTTGTTCAAATTATACCCATCTTGATTGGCCCAGTCATATTGGGATGGGTCTTGTCCTGGCCCGAAAAAAATTAGGATGAGATGAGAAAGGCATTCGAGACGGGACAGGACACAGGATTGCCCTTTGGACATCTCATCCCGTCCCGAATATTATATAGATATATATATATATATATATATATATATATTATTTTTTATTTTAAAAATATACATTAAGTATACTCTCTTTGTTCAAAAATGTAAGGCATTTTTAACCGAATCTCACCCCCAATAAAGTAGTTACCTACTTTCCAACAAACCCTATCTTTTCATATTTATCCCTATTAAACACCCTACAATAAATATAAAGTCATTATCAATAGGGGCACTTTTGAAAAAAAAGGTAATGATTACACCTCGAAAGAATAAAAATGCCTTACATTTTTTAACATCTAACTCCTCAAAAAATGCCTTACATTTTTGAACGGAGGGAGTATTAATTATAATTTCAATACGTGTTATTCATATTTAAAACTAAAATTTTTTTATATTGATAATTTTAATGATACAGAGCAAGCAGTATAAGGTAATATCTTCTTTTACAATATATTAACTACATTAATATAATTTATTCCTATATCTACCTATTTAACAACTTTTGTTTATATCACATTTCTTGCTTTATTTTCAAAAGCGTCACTAGCTTAATATATTTCTACTAAAGAAGAAGAACAATAACTTGATGTTGTGCAAGGCTTGTCCGTTGTCGTTGCTCTTATGGCCTAAAGATCACTTGTAATTGCTATCATAATGTATTATATCTCATGTATATTTGACTTTAAGTTGTTTATTTGTAGTTGTGATTGATGTAATTCAATAATTCTTGTGATTCATGTACTTATCTTGTTTTGGTTTTAAACTCAATAACTTATATTATTTAAAATTTTAATTAATGAATGTTATTGTTCAAGTCTTTCTCCTGCATTGTTTACTTTATCGAGACAGCTGGACGGCTCAATCTCATCATGATCCTATCTCGATTCCTAATTGAACGGGATGACTTTTGAGACAGGACAAGACACAGGACAAAAATCTAATCCCGATCATTTTTTCAAATGGGACATGGGACAGGGATGTCCATATCCCGTCCTATCCCATAAACACACCCCTACTAACTTTTAACCAGATTACAGATGGTTTAACCAAACTAGTTTCTAGTTCTTTATTTGAACCTTTCAAGCAATACTTAAGGGTTAAAGAGTCCACTATCACAAACATAGGCTTTTAACAGCGAGTAAAAACACTTTTAATGGCAATTATAGAACCATTGTTATTTCAGGGGATGTCACTTTTAATAGTAGTTACAAGTCCGCTATTGAAAGTTGCCCGTTGATTGCATTTTTTAAAAAGAATTGCTATTAAAAGTCCCCTTTTTCTCCATAACCACTGTTAAAAGTGATTTTTTTAAAAAAATTAATTCTGTTTTTACTTATTTTCCCAATTCCTACAAATAAAAATATTTTATATAATTTATCGCCAGCTAGCTAGTTCTAGTACATATAAATAATTCAAATTTCAATATAAAATTTTATAAAAATTACATAAAACTGAAATGATCTATACATTTTTCTAAAAAAAATATCTAAACCTCACATACCATCGATAAAATATTGTGCCCAACGTGTGAGGATGTCGTCAACCTCTTCCTCAAAGAATGGATCCGCAATGTCAACATCTAAATTAAAGTATGAAATTACAATTAAAACATTAACTAACTAATTTAAATAATAATAAAATTAGCTTTTCAAAAATATATTTACCTCATTAGTAAATTCAATTATTCTTAATGTGATGATGTTGAGCATGTGTCTCATCACATATACACTGCACAAACTAGTCTTTTGTGATTGCCTACGACTCTGTATAAGATCATATATACAAGTAATCAACAATAAATCTTAATAATTAAATAAGTTCATAAATTGTTAGTTTCACTTACCTTTGGCTCGATCCATATAGGATCCTTAAGTTTATGTGTGTGCTTTTTCAGGACCATTATTTGATATGTTTTCATTGCCCTATGGTCAATATCACAAGATTTGTAATTAATATATCCATAAAAATTGATAGTTTTTATACAAGAATACTTATAAATCTATCGTCTTCTTTATGTCCTTATTTGATTTGTAAGGAGGAAGCATAAGAAGATAACTGTGTTACTCTCCAATAAAAGAACAATTAGTTTCCAGTAGTCTCCACAAAATAAAGTGAGTTATTAGAAAGAAATTCACATTTAATAAAAAAAACTATCAATCGTAAATTGATCTCTACGAGTGTCATATATGGAGCCATGAAAACTGTCACACTCCAGTACTAAGGATATGACTGGCACAAAATATGAGATAGACTCACCTTCCATAAGCCTTGATTATATGAAATTAAGCTAAAATATCAATAACTAATTATATATATAACTATAAGGTTCAAAAAAAATCTTAAATATTCTATAAAAATTTTGGCAGAATCTCCCCTATAATTTGGATCTCTTAAAATTTCTACAATAACAAAACCTTTCAGCTAATTCACCAAAGGAGCTTAGCTTCACACCAGCAGATTATATATCAACAAAATAAAATTAAGATTTAACTATGGTATACGTGGAGCACTAAATTACAACTTAATAATACAATATAGTATTTACTTAAGAGATGATCAAAAGGTGCTTCCACTATCTAAAAAGCTATAGGGCCTCTCAATATTTAGTAAGAGGTACAGGGTTAGTTATAATATCTGAGATCAAAAAATTTTTCGGTGAGTAGCGTTCCAATCAGAGTTATAATTAAAATAATTAAGAAGATAAAACTAATAAATTTAGTCTAAAACAATTTTATGAAATAATGAAACATATACTTGAATTAACAACAAAAACCAATTCTTTTTTAATAATACAATTGTGAAATTAAACAATATTAATAGAACAATCTAAATTTATCAAGATTTGTACTGCACGTAGAATATAATAATTTCAAGTAATGATGCAATTAGGTGAAATGCTTTTAGAGAATTTATAGAAATAATAAATTTTAATTTTAAATTTAGGAGGGCTTTATCAAATAATAACAAACGTGGGTACACAGTCCACAAGAGTAAGTAACAAGTCAAGCGCGGCTGAAAGCCACAAAACAAACATAACAGGGGTCACGAATCAAGCACAGGCATGAAGCCCACGAAAACAAGTGTGAGTACAATACTCACAAATAACCATTCCTCCATTTTACATGTGTTGGCCATCGCACAGGGCTAACACTTCCTATAAACACTTTACTAGTTGGGTATACCATGGTGCGTCAAGAGCTAATGGTACTGCCGTTAGCATCCAACATTCTGAACTTAGTCACCCTTATTAAAATCAAGCATGTATGGAGCAAGAAAATAATTTCTTATTTTTCACTTTCAAACACCGTTCAACTATCATTTCATTTGTCCAATTTTTTTTTAAAATCATTTTCTCATACATGAATCATTGCATTGAAAATTTTTTATATCTATATAGAATTAAGTAATTAAATTGTTTTTGAGAAATAATATCATTTATCATATATCTGTTTCAATCATTGCTTATCAACAATATAAATTATCAGTAAAATAAACATACTTGCATTAATAAAACAATTATTAGAAAAATAGGATTAACAAAATATTTGTATGATTTATAAAAGAATGATAGTTAAATTTGAAAAAAAAAAGGAATTTTATAAACACTTCTCTAAAAATTAAATTTATAACTACTACTCACTCATCTGAAAGTTTTTCAAGAATTCTAAAGCCTGCTTCTCTTAACTTTTCACTTTGTTTCTAATTATACCCTTAATTTTTTTTGACAAAAATCACAATTGTAAAGTCATTTATCAAATAATTTTTCAAGCATTTAGTGGTCATTTAAATTTAATCCAAATAATATTAAAGAGAATATTTTAACCAATTATGTTTTAAATATACTTAAGTTAGTTAAATATTTGACAACTCTCAATTCATTCTCATATCTCCTTGTAACTTATTCTCAATCATAAGTTATAATAACTTATGTCAACTATTCTCATGCTTCTTTTAAATTTAATAACATGCCAAACAAGAACTCTATGTATTCCTCTCTTCTATTTTGGTATTTTAAAATTTTTAATTAACAACTTAAACCAAAGCTTACATATACTTTTTCAAGCTATAGCATGATAGTTTAACAACCCATAGTTCACTAAATTCTTCTCCCTCATATTTTTACAATTACCTTAAAGGGCATGCATTTATTATTGGCAAAATTTTGAGACGAGTGATCAAGAAATTCCAACAACTTCCCAATTTTACTTTCTTTAACCAAATATAGTTCAGTATCATGGTAGAATAACATCCAATTATACATACTTCTAATTGATTCTAACATTTCATGACAGCAGCAGTGAGGAATATAGATTTCATAATTCAGCCAGAGAAGGGAGGGGATGATTCGTTGCTGCTATGGGACTCAAAGAGGAAGGAGAAAAGAACTGCAGCTCACCTCCAACGAAATTGAAGTGGCCACCACGATAAATCAGCACGCGACCGACGCTGAAGAAGGGAAAGTGAAGAGCTCCGATCTGCTGTACGCGCAAGAAGGAAGAGGACCAAAATTTCAGCTAGCAGGCGCAAGAATCAAGCTACCATAGACACACACACCCATATACGGAACTTCAACAGCCGAGGGAGAAGAAAAGAGACAGACCGAACATGAATACACACACCTCTAACAGCTACAAAACAGAGCAAAAACGGGGAAGAAAATTCAACCTTTCAGCTGTACAAAGATGGACGAGCAACTGAGCGAACAGAACGGACAAGCCTCCGGCGGTGAGAAGAAACGAACACACTCACGGGAAGACTGAAGCAAGTGCGATAGGAAGGGAAGAAAAACAGAGGAAGAACGCGAACTCTGTCACTCTCTCCGCTCTGTGCCAATGGCCGACAAAGGGAAAGAGATATTGAAATAATAAGTTCATTAGAAAAATTATAAAACAAGACCCAAAGTTTGTTGAGAATATTACAAAATAATATCTCATCAGATTTTTGTTATTGCTATTATAATATTTTTATTAAAAAAACAAGGGCACTATAGTACTTTCTTAATAGGGAAGGAAAATGATTAAATTTAAATTTTTGGGTCATTACAAAAACGTCTTTTTTGACTTCACATATTCGTTACTGGAGGTATTGGGATCTTATTTCTAAAGTATTTCCTTTCTCTATCATATGATGAGGGCAAAAAAATCTCAAATTATCACCTTTGTCTGATGTAATGCACAAACGATGGAAGTACCTATGATAATGCAATCATGTTCGTTGACTAAACTAGATAAGTTAAATATATTCAAGTAAGACATACTTATATCATAAATAACTCAATTGTTACTGTGGTAAGCTGACTTTTTGAGAGAAGCTGATTCAAATCTTCTCGTTCAATCATCACTGGATTCTCCATACATACAACGTCATTTTCCTTTACAAATTTTTTTTCTTTAAATAATTTATCGTAAGCCAGTAAAATTATTTGTTGGAGAGGAGTCAATTGCGATAGCTGCGGTTGCAACGAGGGTTGTGAAAGTTTCAACAGGGGAAGATTTGACGAGGGAAATTGAAAAGGCAAAAGATAGTTAATTAAAAAAAATGATAAGAAAGAAATATTTAATAAAATGTACCGCAGCTTGAACCATACTAAAAAATCTCTTGGGCGACATGATAAAAGTACCATTAGAATCAGACATTGTCTTGACCTTTTTAGTGGGGAATGAGATGAGCGCCTCTGCTACTTTTACATCTTCTACCACCACTCTTACTTGATCTTATTGCATTTGCTTGTGGTAGATGGTTTGACCCAAAATGTAAGTACTTCCAAGAGCAACCAAGCATCTATTAGGATCCTCTAGATATAGCTTACACGATTCATTGGTATTTCCCACTGAAGGACCCTTTGACACACGTCTAAGAACATTACTCTCTTTTGTGCTATGATATCCAAGAGACTATGTATGAGGTATATCGGCAGTCGTCTCTTGTCATGAGGTCATAAAGGTCATCATCTCCTCTTTTATTTTTATAAGCCGAGCTTCCAAGCAGACTTCCAAACGAGCTTCAAATAAAGCTTTAGCATACTTCATTTTTTGTTGTCTTACATTTGTCATTACACTTTCCAGCTCCTCTTTTGTAACAACACCTGAGCTGTTAGGGTGTGCATATGCTCTAAAGTAATCTCTGATCTTCACATCAAATCCAATACCTCTAACTCACCCTGGATGCTTTAGTTTGCCTATAGCAACTGCCAAGATGTATTTCTACCCTCTAGAATAAAGGATCATTGAGATTGTTGTTCTTTAAGAGCCTTCTATAACAAACAAAATTAAAATCATAACATTTTGTATTGATAATTGAATAAAAAAATTAAAAAATTAAATGTTACTTATAATCCTTTTGGCAACCTCGCATGCCTTCTCACTTATATATCCTCCTTGCTTGTATTGATGACCATATCTCCATTTATCCTCACGAGAGATAGGCGATGGTGGGGATAAGAAAATAGAAGAATCAATTTAGCTTCTTCTTCTCTCTTCCTCAATTAGCTTCTCATCCATCAAGATATCATCAATACGATTATAACCCCCATGAGGTATTGTATAGGGGCATTTATTTCTCCAAACAATTTCTTTCCCTTTTTGCTCGTTTCTCCTATTAATAAAAAATTAATAAAGTAATATAATTAATTAAATTAAATTACTATAATTAAATTAATTAGAAATTGACTTACCATAGCTTTTTTAGGAGTTTAAATCCTATAGAATTCCTACATGTATGTTCATCTAAAAACTGGTATGTCTCGAGAGGATTAGGACGAGGCTGACCTTCTTTTAACTTGATATGGATAAATTTCCTAGCAATATCAGTCTTAAAATCTCTCCAACATTCTCCACAATTTTTTAGCATCTATCTCCGACATGCTTCATCATTCAAAACATCATAGATGAGTTGGAATTAATAATAGTTAATATTTTACATGTAATAATTACAAATGTTTATAACTTTAAAATGATATACCTGAATGCTTTCTCAAATTTATTCCTTCACATATTCTGGCACATCAAGCCAATCTTCATAAAAGATATTAGACTTATTACGTGATAGAAGCCCAAGGTAGCTGACAAACTCAGCCTTATTTGGCCCTTGCAGTTTCTGCTGTCGATCGAACTGGATTGGTAATCTACAGCTAGTAGTCCTACTCAAGGTCAACTGTCTTAGTCACATGCCCTATCTATCCCTTCTCACTAACTGGCTCTAATTGGGATCGCTTTCACCTCTATAAGCAACCTTTATAATAGGCTGGCTCGGAGTAACATCTGTAGTAGGTTGGCTCAAAGTAGCCTCTGCATAAGACTTGCCCTGAGCACTTTTAATAGGTCCACTCTTATTCTTCTCCAAGTTCTAAAAATAAAATATAAAGAATTGTAATTAAAATATAATTCAAATAATACAAAAATAACTAAAACACAAAGAATTGTAAATAAAACATAATTTAAGATTAGAAAACTAACATTAATTTCAAAATTAAATTCATATAGAGATATTCTCCTATATTCCTTCATGGTGATCACTTCATGTGTCATCTTTATCATCTATCTCATCTACATTTAAATTGGGTATTTCTGATAAGAAGGTAGGAGTTTTAGAAATATTGAAGCCTGTTTTGTTCTTGTCATCACTATCAATCATCCATTTTTTTCTTTGAGAGTTATTGACTAACGTTTATATACCGGATTGGTGATATAGAAAACTTGTTTTGCTTAATTTGCCATAATAAATGGCTTATCCCTATAAGTTAGTCTTTTAAGATCAACTAATGTAAATTCTAACTTATCCTCTTGAACGCCATTGATGTCAACCTACTTACACTTGAAAACAAGTACTTTAAATTTTGTACAATCAACCTCCCAGATCTCTTCACTAATCCTAAAATAAGGTATGGATGCCATTTATTCTTATCTTTCTTACTTGAGAAGTGCATAGCTTTAACTACTATCGTAACTCCACTATTTTGTATAGTGCTCTTCTCATTAAGAGACTTTGTATAGAAAGAATATCCATTAATATCATATGTACTCCAGCATATTACATCCACGTTAAGACCCTCTACTAACCATTTAATTGTATTAGAAATGTTATCTTCATTTAAGACTTTTTATTTGAAACAATCTGCAAAAGTCCTGTTGTACTCTTTCGAGAACCTTTGTTTAGTTATTCTCAGCCGATTGCATTCTACCATTAGAAGTTCTATGTAAATCTATGTAATTTTGAACTTTGTCAATATTATTCAAGATATATAAATGTACTTCTTATATTTCATCACAATTCATGCTCTCTATTAATACCTCATGTATGCCCTAACCTAATTGTCTCCTTTCCTAATGATATTTAAGAAGCCCAATTAGTTTTATATTTGACAAGTAATTAGAACAAGATTTTATAGCTTCTTCAGCAACATATTTTTGAACTAAGATGCTTCAGGGTAGTAAAGATTCTTCACATACCCTTTCAATAGTTTCATGTATTTCTCAACTGGATACATCCATCGTAAGTAGACAGGGCCACACATTGTTACCTCCCTCACTATATAATATTAAAAAAATGAAAGAGTAAAGTGCATCTCTAGTTGACATAAGATAATACAAGCTTTTTGGTCCAACTCATCTAATTTAAAGGGATCAATAACTTTACTACATATCACATTGAAGACAAAACAAAATTTAGTTATTGTGTGCCTCAAATCTTCTTTCAATATATCTTGAATGGCCACTGATAATAATTGTTGCATCAAGACATGACAATTATGAGACTTTAAGCCTACTAGTTTTAACTCTTTTATTGACACAAACTTATTAATATTTGAAGAATATCCTGACAGCACTTTGATCACATTTAAATACTCACAAAAAAAAATTTTTCTCTACCTTGGACAATGTATGAGAGGCTGGGGGACAGTAAGTCCGCTTACCTTCTGATCTCGAGTGTAAGTCCTTTCATATTCCCATTTCTTTTAAATCTAATCTTGCATTCACACCATCCTTGGTCTTGCCTGGCATGTTCAAAAGTATGCCAATAATATTATCACACATTTTTTTCCACATGCATAACATCAATATATTGCCTCATCTTCAAGATGGCACTAATATGAAAGATCAAAGAAAATAGATCATTTTTTCGATATATTTTTGCACTTGTATTCTTTTAAATCGTACTAAAGATTGTGTTGATGTCTTTTACACGTTTATAGACTTACTCCCTGGTCAAAGCATTTAGAGCATGAAGGTACTCTTGGTAGCTATGAAAAGCTTTCTTTAATTTATGATAAAGGTGATCTCATCTAAGAAATCTTTGATGGCCAAGGTAGGCCATCTTCCTTCCATGTTAAAGTTGATGGTAGCATGTGCCTTCTTTATAAATTAGACATGCTTTGTGACCCTTGATGCTGTACCCAAACAAATTCCCATACATAAGAAAGTTGTTTATAGTACAAAAGATCATATCATGTAACTTAAAATTCTCTTTTTGATTTTCATCAAACACATCCACATGTACGTCCCACAACTCTTTCAAGTCTTCAGTCAAAAGGTGTTAAGTAAATATCAATGTCATTTCCAAGTTGTTTTGGTCCTAAAATCAATATGGATAGCATTATGTATTTCTATTTCATGCATAATCGAGGTGATAGGTTATAAATCACTAAAAGAATAGGCTATGACCTATATATACTGCTAAGGCTACTATAAGGATTCATTCCATCAGTAGAAAGTCCAAGCCTAAGGTTCCTTAGTTCATTACCAAATTTAAGAAATAATTAATCAATTTTCTTTTACTGAGGAAAATTGGCTGGATGTTGAAATTTTCTATTAGATATCCTCTCATCTGCATACCACCTTAAGTTCTTCGCATCATTAATATTCACAAAAAGTGATTGAACCTTGGTATAATTGAAAGATACCATAAGATGACCTTTGCAGGAGCCCTTTTCCCTTTGTACTATGTTGCCTCACATTTTGGACGCTTCTCCTTCCCTTCAAGCTCTTCTCTATATAGCACACAATCATTAGGACGTGCATGTATCTGTTTAAAATTCATACCCATTGGGTATAAGATCTTCTTGGCATCATAGTAATGATTTGGTAGTATATTTCCCTTTGGAAACATTATTTGGAATAACTCTAGCAATCATGTAAAACTTTGTTCACTCCACCCAACTCTTGCCTTCAATCTTGCCTTCAAGGTAACTAATTCTAACACCCCAGACAATAGACTAAAATCAGTATACCTCGGGTATAAAGGCTCCTTTGCATCAGTGTACAAGTTATTATACACATGTGCTCATTCAAAAGCCTCTTTCCCAACATTATGAATCATGTCCTCTAACTGATCTTCATCTATATCTACTTCATCATC